GCCAGCCCCAGGCCTGGCCCGCAGGCCGGACGCGCCTGCCCCTCTGGTCTGTCTGTGCCGCGTTCAGAACTGGCCCCGACGGCGCCCTGGCTCTCGGCTCTGTATTTTCAGCCGCTCTTGGAGCCCGAAACTCGGCCGAGCTGGGCGCGAGCCTCCCAGGCGGCAGCGGGCCCGACACGGCCTCCGACGTCCTGTGCGCTTCTGACTGTCCCTGGCCTCCGGTTTTTCTTACTAAACTTCAAAACTTGCTGCCCCTCCCCAGCCCTGGCCCTGCTGGGCTTCGGACTGCAGCTGTCTCCTGGCGAGAGACCAGAGCCGCGTGGCATCAGAGGGAAGGAGCCCGGGCCCAGGCGGCGGCCCCGAGAGCCGCTGTGGGGCGGGGCCCCCGCACGCAGGGAGGAGGGGGCTCCCCGAAGTGCTGGGTGTCGGGCGGCAGAGGCAGGGGCCGGTCGCGGGGGCCTGGCCCCCCGGGGCAGCTGGGCACTTCTGGTGGACAGGAAGCATGAGGCACCCGCCGAGGGCAAAGTGGGCCGTGGGCCGCCCGGGCTCCGGGCTGTTCACCAGAAGCCGGACAGCCCAGCGGTGGGGACCGTGGGCCTTGGGGCTGGGCACTTGCTGGCTCTGCCCCTCCCTTTGGGTGCCTTGGGCGCTGCCTGACACCCAGGTCTCAGTCTCCCCATGCGTGGGATGGTGGCACCGGGCCAGGCCGCCCCTGGCCTATGGGGAGGAGCCAGTGCCGGCCGCTGTCCCCTCGCGGGCGGCCGCCCTCCGTGCTCTGACGGGGTGACTGGGCTCTCGCTACTGAGGTCCGTGGGCACTCACTGACCACCGTCTGCACAGGGTGGGGTGGGGGAGGGGAGGGGTCAAGGAAAACCACGGCAAGGACACGAGGCTCCCGGCCTGGACATCCTCAACAGAGGTTGTGCTGGACGTCCACTCTGTCCTAGCAGGGCCGCGGCCACGTCTCCCAGCTCCACTCGGCTCTGTCTCCCCCAGGGCGCGCGCCGCAGCCCCTCCCCTGAGAGTGCACCCCATTCTTGATGTGTGGGTGCTCCAGCCTCCGCTCACCGCACCTTTCTCTCTGTCTTTCAGCCTTGAAAAGATCTTTTGAGGTCGAGGAGGTCGAGACGCCCAACTCCACCCCGCCCCGGAGGGTCCAGACGCCCCTGCTCCGGGCCACGGTGGCCAGCTCCACCCAGAAGTTCCAGAACTCGGAGCCGGCCGCCCGCCACGGAGACTCGCTCAGCCAGCGCTCCCCCAAGGCCGCCCTGCGGGGGGTCGAGCCCCCGGGACCCAGGCCCGAGCCCGTGTCCCGGCGCACGGAGCTGTCCATCGACATCTCGTCCAAGCAGGTGGACGGCGCCGGGACCGCCGGCCCGGCCCGCTTCGGGCTCAAGCGGGCTGACGTGCTGAGCCACAAGACGCCGGAGCCCGCGCCCCGGAGGACGGAGCTCACCCTGGCGAAGCCCCAGGAGTCGGCCCTCCGGAGGATGGAGACCGCCGCCCCCAAGGCCCCCGAGGGGCCCGCGGCC